CCGTTTGCTATATATATATATATAAATATGTAGCAAACGGAGCAAGATCAGTGCAGCTAATACAGTGCAAAGAGATAAACAAGTAAGCAGTCTTGCTTTGAATGAAAGTTAATTGATTCTGAGGCTCACCTGACGGTTGACTGGTACACAAGGTCCTCACGTCTGCGGTAGTCCTCCATGTGAGAGTAATTGGTATTAAACATAGCATCATAGGTGAAGATTTTCTGCTTGATGGTACCTCCATCTGTGACCTGTGAAGCAAAAAGACAGCATTAATAAGAATGTTACCCAAATGATGGATGGGACAGGGCAGATTGTTCCTCCCCTTAGAGCTTCTCCTGCACATACACTGTTGTCCCATGGCCTCAAGTGTTGATAGTACTCCTGGCTGTAATTACCTCAGTGATTCATTTGCAGCCATGATAAGATCATTCCTTAAGATGTCTTCAACCCTGCTGATGTGATAACATCAACAAGACAATCTCTTAGGCAGCGGCTGGTACGTGTTCCTTCACATGGTTGAGTCTTAATGAAGACTGACAGAGCACCGTGTTCTCTATGTGTCAAGCAGTTAGCTGTCTGCAGAAGTAATGGCTTGTGATGAGATACCACAGAGGTAGAGGTGTAGGATTTTCAAAACACTGCTTTTTTTTCCCACCACAAATTGTAGATTGATGGAGCGGGTCTTCCCTTTCTAATATTCACGAGTATTAAAGTCACTTAGCATTTGAATGCGTGTGATTTCTCCTGTCCTCAGAAGATACAGATGGCCATAAACGAGAAAAAATTATTAATGGAGCCATTAATGTTGGTGGGCCAGGGATCCTCCTTAGGTTAACCAGTGAAGATGCTTTTGTTCTGATCAGATCCCTTCAGCGAGGTAGGCAACAAAGCATTTCATGTATAGTTTCTATAACATACACATCACCTCACAAAGAGACAAAGCTAAATTGCATTTATATGAACAAACAATTGTTCCCTGTGAATGTGGGGGACTCGCATAACCTCTAGATAAAGTGCACTGCCTCAGGCTTAGTTTCGTAAGTGGTGCTGCACAGGGAGTTGACAATGTGGAAACAACTAATGCACAAGTGTAGAAATAAATTTTCTCTGTCACCTGTAACCACTAAGAGCAAAGCTTTTGGATATTTCTGTAGACTTACAAAACAGTCAAAATGCTGGATTCTAAGACTTTTTTTTTTTTTAAAGCATGCTTCCACCACAGTGTGGACATTTATGGCACCATTTGGCAAAGAAAAGATTTGGCAACCTATTTACTTGCTTTTAATATCAGTTCGGGTGAACAGACACCAAGCAACAATGTGGCTTCTTTTGGAGCGACAGAACACTGAGGGGCAGCGGGACAAAGCCGGCCTCTAAAAGCAAAGCCATGTTTGAAAATTGTGCTTTCCAACCACCCAGACTTGTGCCACCACTGTATTTATAGTAATGGACCTTTTCGAAACAATCACTATAGGGACTCGAGAGACATTTCTGTCTGACATGGCTTTGCAGCACCTTATGTGAAAAAGGCTCTACAAAGCTTAAAAAGAATACCACCTTAACTTTCCTGATGTATGATAAGTACATGGGAAGCTGATAGGCAGCACATTTTTACTGGATTAATAATGAGATGTCACCGAGACATAAAGTGATATACGTTACAGATTAGTACAGTATGAGGCAAGCATTATAAAGACAAATTATACACCCAGACTGTCAATGAAATAGGAATGGTTCATTTCCATCGATCTTTCTCAATTTTACACAGGAATAATGCTTGGGAAAGCACTTGTGAGAGTAAATCAAGTATATATCCATTCAATAAAAGGAGCTTCCTCTTTTCCATTTGCAATCTTCAAAACCATATCTCCTTATGTCCCCTTCAGTTTCTGAATAATTTGCTACCATGAAGCATTAGCAATTAAATGTCAGATAACAAGGCACATATTTTTTTTCTTGATACTCATTATTACTTCCTTTCTTGCTTGTTTTGAGCAAACCAAAACTTATCATTATTACAGCCAAGTCAATTTTAGTTTTAGGGTCATGCATTATGAAGACTTAGCTATCAATTTTTTTTACTTTCACACTTGGCATCATCATACCAGTATTTTGGAGCAATATTAATCATTAAATACAGCACACAAACTACGACTGTGATAAAATAGACAAACAAGGCAAATACTGCATTCTTACAAGAGGATAGACAACATGGAATGTAATGTGTGTGTGTGTGTGTGTGTGTGTGTGTGTGTACGCACGTGTTGGCAAGTACACATTCATCTACTCAGCAGCAGTCTTCTACATGACCTAAAGAAGCCACTGGAGTGTACAACCCTCAGGCGACAGCGGCTCTGGACGTCTGACTGTGCAACTTTACACACAGCACTGACACATTTCATCAGTTCTGGGTTGACAACTTGACATAATTTTAGCTTGTTAGCAGCTAGCAGAAATTCACCTTGTTAACACATATCAGCATGCTTATACATTTAGTCTAAGACAAACATATTTTGTTTAATTTAGTCTTTAGCCACATGCCAAAATGATATTTCATTAAATTAGCATGCTGTGAGTCAGCTAATTATGCAAAAAGATGTATTGTCATTCAGTTACAGACAGTATGTACGCATTACATCACACAGACAATTCTCCAATGGACCTTTATAAAAGCACCAGCACTCTTGGATTTGTACAACAACTGTATCACTTCTGTTGGAGCTACAGTACATCTCTGAGTTGGCACTAACTGCCCTGAAGGTAGCTGTTCAAAGTATGTATCGGTGCTATCCCACTCACCTAATATACTGTATATGTTTGTGAGGTCAACTTGACCCAACCAATGACCTTGCCACTATGACAACTTTTCTATCACTGTAGCAGACACCTAAGATGGTCAGTTTCTTCAAACCTCTACCACTGACATAGAACTTAGTGTGAGATGGGTAGTTTCAAGGATCCATCCATCCATCCATTTTCTTCCGCTTATCCAGGACCGGGTCGCGGGGGCAGCAGTCTAAGCAAAGATGCCCAGACTTCCCTCTCTCCAGACACTTCCTCCAGCTCCTCCGGGGGAATGCCAAGGTGTTCCCAGGCCAGCCGAGAGACATAGTCCCTCCAGCGTGTCCTGGGTCTTCCCCGGGGCCTCCTCCCGGTGGGACATGCCCGGAACACCTCCCTAGGAAGGCACCCAGGAGGCATCCGAAGCAGATGCCCGAGCCACCACAGTTTCAAGGATATATCCCTTTAATTCAGTTTTCCATTGGCAGGAATAGAATTGGAAAGTTAGTGTGACCAGAAATAACCTTAACTAGCAGAGCTGAAAGAGACAAAGCATTCCACTGACAGAAACCCAAACATCAAACACCACAGTCCAGGAAAGAAAGACATCTCAGGGTCTAATTGCCAACTGATCTCCTGGAGGGGAAGTGGAGCAACAAAGCAACAGCGAAAGAAGACTTAAAAAAGATTCAAGTGCTCGTGGATTATCTCTTCAATAGGGGTTGTATATTTGTAGCCTTGTTTCTGACTTCACTGGTTTAATCATTAGTTCAGATGAGATGCACAGGCATGTCTACGAAGGCCCGTGACAATCGCATTCCATGTAACCAAATGATAATGAAAGAAAACTTGCATTAAGGGGAAAAAAACATGGTAGATGAGCAGGTACAACAAATTCCTAACAGCGAGAAAGCTCTCTTCCAAATCCAAACACATTCAACATATCCGCCCACACTGCAGTTCACTTTAAACTGATGCACAAATGCCATGCTGGCGCTGAGGTAGTCCAGCTACAGTAATATAATAGGCATTAAAATTCCTTCTGTCCTCTCGCTGAAAAACCTGGTGGATATCGCAGGTGTCACTTTTCTGCTTGTCTGGAAGCTATAAGGAGCAGACAGGAGATTTCTGTTTCAAACAGGTCATGCCTGTGGCACCTTCTCTTTATCTATCTCCCCTTAATGATTTCACCTCTTAATTAAAACTGACCTGTACACCCCTGTGTAATAAATCTGAAAGAATCTGCACATCAGTGGATGCCTTCCTATCCCCACAAGGGGACCTGTTTGTGGTATAAATGA